TTTTTTAAGGTGCCCAAAAAAATTCAAAAACTCAAAAATTTCAAAACTTTACGGAATGGCTTAGAATACCTGTGGCCACTCACTTTGAGTGAAATTTTAATTTTTGGAGGTGAAAAAAAAAAAAAATCAAAAATTTCAAAACTTCATGAGAATGACTTAGAATACATGTGGCCATCCACTTTGAGTGAAATTTAAATTTTTTAGGTGAAAAAACATAAAAAATCAAAAATTTCAAAACTTTACTGAATGACTTACAATACCTCTAGCCACCCACTTTGAGTAAAATTTAATTTTTTAGATGCCCAAATGGTATTTTTTATTTTTTTTTTTTTTTTTGGTTCCTAAAGAAAATTAAATTTCACTCAAAGTGGATGGCCACATGTATTCTAAGCTACTCTGTGAAGTTTTGAAAATTTTTCTTTTTTGCTTATTTTTATTTTTTTTTCGACACCTAAAAAAAATTAAATTTCACTCAAAGTGGGTGGCCACAGGTATTCTAAGCAATTATGTGAAGTTTTTTATTTTTTATTTTTTTTATTTTTTTCGGCACCTAAAAAAATTTAAATTTCGCTTAAAGTGGATGGCCACAGGTATTCTAAGCCATTTTGTGAAGTTTTGAAATTTTTATTTTTTTATTTTTATTTTTATTTTTTTCGGCACCTAAAAAAATAAAATTTCGCTCAAAGTGGGTGGCCACAGGTATTTTAAGCCATTATGTAAAGTTTTGAAATTTTTACTTTTTTGCTTATTTTTATTTTTTTTGGCATATAAAAAAATTTAAATTTCACTCAAAGTAGGTGGCCACAGGTATTTTAAGCTATTCTGTGAAGTTTTGAAATTTTTTATTTTTTTTATTTTTTTCGGCACCTAAAAAATTTAAATTTCACTCAAAGTGGATGGCCACAAATATTCTAAAGCCGATTCTGTGAAGTTTTGAAATTTTTGATTTTTTGCTTTTTTTTTTATTTTTTTCGCACCTAAAAAATAAAATTTCGCTCAAATTGGGTGGCACACAGGTATTCTAAGATATTCATGAAGTTTTTAAATTTTAGAATTTTTTATTTTTTTGGCAACTAAAAAAATTAAATTTTGCTCAAAGTGGGTGGCCATAGGTTTTCTAAGCCATTTTGTGAAATTTTGAAATTTTTTATTTTTATTTATTTTTTTTATTTTTTTCGGTACCTAAAAAAATTTAAATTTCACTGAAAGTGGGTAGCCACAGATTCTAAACCATTCTGTTAAGTTTTGAAATTTTTGATTTTTTGCTTTTTTTTCTCACCTCAAAGATCGTGACTTCCATATGAATATGTGTGTTGAAGAAAATGAATTCTCGAAATGGTTCTCACTTTTGTTCGAAATGAAAAATCAACTTTTTTTTGTTCTCATTTCGGTTTTAATCGAGTTTTGGAAGCAAACTTGTCCGGAAATAGAAAAATGAAATTGTGTTTACCAAACGGGTTTACGGTCCAAAGCGATTACGGAACAAAAAACCGGTTAAGACGGGAACCGAGAATGGTTTTCATGCAGCACCTTAGGGCGCGCATGGTAACCATTCTGGTTCTGTCCAGAACCGGTTTTTTGTTCCCGGAATCAGTTTTGGACCAGAAACCCGTTTGGTAACGTAATTTTATTTTTCTATTTCCGGACAAGTTTTTGTCCCGAACCGGTTACGAAACCAAAAATCGAACCTAAAAAAGTTGGTTTTTTGTTTCTTGAACAAAACTCAGAACCATTTCTGAGGAACTCATTCTCTTCAAAACATCTGTCTCTCGTCTCCTCTCATCTCTCTCTCTCTGATCTGCCCGTCTCTCTCTGTACTCTCTCCGTCGCCGTCGAGAGGAAGCCAGGCCGCTCGTTCGCTCGCTCCGACCGAGAGGAAGCCAGGGCCGCTCGCTCGCTCGCTCCTGCTCCACGTAAGCTCCGATCCTGCCCTGCATCTCCTCTCATCTCTCTCTTTTCTGGATTTGGAAGTCGCCGTGATCGGGGGGGTCAGCTTCGGCCTCGCCATGGCCGGCGGTCGACCTCGCCGTGGCCCAGATCTGGGCGACGGCGAGGTGGACCACCGGCCATGGCGAGGCCGCTCGGCCTCGCCCGGGTGCAGGCGGTCGACCTCGCCATGGCCCGGATCCGGGCCACGGCGAGGTCGACCGCCGACCATGGCGAGGCCGCTCGGCCTCCCCCACCGAGCGGCCTCGCCATGGCCGCGGTCGACCTCGCCATCGCCCGGATCCGGGCGACGGCGAGGTCGACCGCCGGCATTTCACCATTTCCATGGAGGTTTTTTCCTTTTTTGTTCGTTTAATTTCGGAATGGGTGCGTGCGAACGAGGTTGATGTCTCGAAAAGTCGCCGGTTTTTTTACGTGGTGGGTTTTTGCTCGCGCGCAGGGCCTTCATATCTCCTGCAGGAAGAAAGATCGTGAAAGAGATCACCCCTCCTCCCAGGAGTCTCGGCGTCCGTTGCTTTCCCTCGGTCAGTTTGGGAAAAATTCGGTTGTTTTTAGTGTTTGATTCGGGGGCTGATGCTGTCGTGATTGCTTTGTATGTGTCCCCTATTTTTTCAGTTGATTGAATTGCTGTCGTGGGATTTTAGAGTGTAACATGATCTGTTGGGCGTTCGCAAGTCAAGGCGATCGAAGCGAACTTTGTGACATCGGTCTTCTCTTACTTCAGTGGATATCAGATAAAGCTGATGCTACAAGCATCAAGTTCGAATTTCACTTGAATAGAACTTACTGATGGTGATCAAAAAGCCCGAACTATTTGTGTTCCTACGCAAGAAAATCACCTAGACCAATTTTTTTTTTTAGGGGATGATGGAAAATCACCTAGACCGAGCTATATGCTTATGTTGATTCCTTTAGTTGCACCTTCAAAAAAGTCAGGTGATCGATTAGTATGCTATGTTTAAACCCACTGCTAAAAACCTGAACGAGCTATAATCACTCTATATTTGGAACTTTGTCCACATTGGATGCCCTGAGCATGTCTTCAACTGGTTGGGATTTGATGGTGTATTAGTTAGTTTGATTGGCTGTTGCCACTTAACTGTAAACCAATTTAACTTGATGAAATTGCTGATTATGCAGATTGTATATTTAGTTTACTTGTTTCGCTTGTGTGATGAGTTTGAGACAATGTAAAAATGTGAAAACTCCTTTTGCACTTTCGAACAGCAATGTGATCTTAAGCTTCAAAACCACAGAGAGCAACAAACGTAATCCTCCTTTTGTTTTCCTGGATAAAAATCATTGGCTGTAGTGTTATCTCCTAGGTGATCATGTAGTTTTAGTTTCAGGATTTTATTTTTTGCAATTGCTGTTGCGAACTAGAGTTTTGGTCGCTCTCTCTGCTGCAAGTGAAGTCTATTTGAAATTTGGTGTGATTTTCAACCTGTCGGTTTTGCTTTGTTTATCCCCTTTGTTGTAGTTCTTTGCACTAGTAGCAACTTCTTTGTCTATGCTTCGTTGTTTACAAGGACATCCAAGTCTTTTACCGGTGAATTCCGTTTTACTTATCTTATAGAAAATATAAACAAGAAGAAAAAGTTGGCTTTATGTGCAAAAGTTATTACTAGCTGCCATTGCAGAACTCTATTTGCCGCTGTAACTTGCATATGGTGCTGTTCTTATGGCGTGTGAACCTTATTGAATTTCAAGAATGCTGAAATATGATTGATGACTAGTACTATGCCATTTTCTCTCTTATACTTTTCTGCATTTGAATTGGTACACCATATGATGTGCTTCATTTGATGTTCAACCAGTTAAGGGTAAATGGCATCTCAAAAGAGACATTTGTGGCAAAGTGGATCTGAGCCTTTAACCAATTTGCTTGTAAGCTTAATGGTTGAAGAGGTAAAAAGAGGAAATCGCACCACTACTACCTACAACAAAGTAGGATGGAATAACATAGTTACCGAGTTCAATAAACAAACAACACTCCAGTTTACTGTAGTTCAGTTGAAGAACAGGACAAACAAATTGAGGAGACAAGATATGGGAGTTATAAGAAGCTTCTTTCACAATCTGGATTTGGATGGGATCATGTTAACAAACGGTTATTGTGGAGGATCCAAGTGTATGGGATGATCACATCAAGGTATCAGTTTACTTGGGTCATTTTGTTCTTATTGTGGATGTGTGTTTCGATTATGTTGCTGACGTATGTCACTATTTTTTAAATTGCAGGATAACATCGAATGGGCTAAATTCCGAAAGGATGGGTTTCCTCAATATCCCGATCTGTGTATCGTGTTTGGCGATACATATGCTACTGGGGATTACGCAGTAGGAAATGCAGAATACTTGGTGGTGTCGGAGGGGGAAGACGATGGTAGTGGTGGTGACAATGGTGGTGGTGCTTTGGTAGGTGATCCAAACGAACTTAGTGATGGAGTCTTCACACCTGACGTGAGTGCCACGCAAGTTCGTGAGAATCACAAGTTGGATAGGACTCCAAATTCCAAGAGGAGGAGAAAGAGTAGCACATATGATATTGCTGGCACCTGCAAAGCCATTCAAGATATGATCAAGTCCAAGGCGAGTCAATCAACAAGTGGCTCCATCACCTCACATGTCCCCCCACCCGAGAACCCCTACTCCATGGGAGCCGTGGTTGCCATCTTAAATGACATGCTTGACTTAGAGCAAAATCTTTACAACAAAGCTATGAACCAAGCATGCCTTAGTGCCAACTGGAGAGAGGGTTTCGTCCTATCTTTACCTGAAAGGAGACGCGGTCTTCTTGAATCTCTTTGAATAGATGTTGAGAACTACGATGACTTTTTCATGTTTGCTTTATTTTTACTTAATGACTTGTGTCCTTGAGATACTTTGGTTTGTTTTTATTTATGGAACTATGATGTCTTTGGTTTGTTTTTAATTATGCAACTATGATGACGTGGCTATTGTTAATTATGGAACTATGATGACGTTGTGACTACTGTTGATTCCTGACTTATTTGTTGTGTTTGTGTTCTTCGTGCGAGGGCATAGGTAATATGGAGGGGGTTGAAAGTAGCAGCAATAATGGTCCAATAGCATCAGTTGAACCAATTGAACAGGTCTTCGATGATTTTGAACTTAATATACTGAAAGCATGGATGTGTACTGTTTCGGTGAACATGTCTATGCATACGAGAGAACCTATTAGGGACAGTAAATTGTCAGGGCCTGAATGGATAAGAGAGATTCTTTTTGGACATTCAGATAGGATATATGAAACTTTTCGAATGGAGAGGCATGTTTTTCTCAACCTTTGTGATTTAATGAAGGCGAGGGGTTGGTTGGCAGATAGTCGATATATTAGGGTAGACGAACAAGTTGGGATATTTTTATCTATGATTTCTCACAAGAACTCGAATAGAGATTTATGTGAGAGATTCCAACATTCGGGACAAACTATCAGCAAGTACTTTGCTAAAGTGTTGCAAGCAGTTCTGAATTTGGCAAGAGAAATTATCGTACCACCTTCATTTGATGTTGTCCCAGAAGAAATTCTTATCAATCCTAAATATAATCCTTACTTCAAGGTAGGATTTGCATACATTCCCTTACACCGTCATTTACATTTTATTGATAATCTTGTATAATGCTAGTCTTTGCTTGAAATGACAAATTTGCATAGGGCGCTATTGATGGCACTCACATTCATGCTTCATCAAGTACCTGATCGAACAGATCCCATTTAGAGGCGGGAAAGGAATTACCACTCAGAATGTGATGTGTGTTTGTTCATTTGATATGAAATTTACATTTGTGTATGCTGGTTGGGAAGGCTCTGCCAACGATTGTCGGGTGCTCTCGGCAGCACTCGAGACACATCGCTTACAATTTCCTCGACCTCCACCAGGTATTTGCTTGTTTTTCATGGGATAATTTTCTGTATAATTGTATTGCAATTGCGAATCATGATCAATATATGAATACCTTTTGCTAGGCAAATACTACGTGGTAGATTTTGGTTATGCTGCAACTCCGGGATTTTTGACTCCTTTCAAAGGGGAACGGTATCATATTAATGATTTTAGGGGTAGAGTGAGGCAGGCAACAACAGCAAGAGAATTATTCAACCATAGGCATTCTTCACTAAGGAATGTTATTGAGAGATCATTTGCGGTGTTAAAGAATCGCTTTTTCATTTTGAGACACATGCCTTCATTTTCAATTCAAAAGCAGTCATGTATTGTAATTGCATGTTGTGCTATTCATAATTACATCCGTGATCAAGACAAGATGGATAAGAACTTTTCTCAATATGGTGATTCAGAGTATCCGTTTGGAAATGCACAAGATGAGGTTATTGACGATACATCGACTGAGGAGGATATCGAGATCAACATGCTTAAGAAAAGAATTGCCAATCAATTGGCAATTGATAATAATATGGCGGAGATTCCATGAAAAAGTGTTTCCGACTTTTCTAATGTAATTTCTTTATTTTGTATTTGAGGATTTTTTATGTTGGCTCTTGTAATGTGATGTGGTATTTTGGGATCTCCTATATTGGCTCTTGTAATGTGATGTGCTTGGTTTACTTTTCTCCATAAGCATTTGGGATATTATGAGGAACGATGCATACTCACAAATATCGAGAGCAAATATCGAGAACGATGGTGGTTGAATGTTGAAGACCCTTTCCAGTGCTTGGCCATTTGCATTAATTTGACTGGAATTTGTGTGCGGGCATACGTAACGTTACGAATTTAACGTAAAATTAATTTTTTTTAGGTGTCGAAATAATTAAAAAAATTAAAAATTTCAAAACTTCACGGAATGGCTTAGAATACTTGTGGCCACCTATTTCGAGAGAAATTTAATTTTTTTGAGATTCCCCAAAAAAATTAAAAAAATCAAAAATTTCAAAACTTCATAGAATGGCTTTGAATACCTGTGGCCACCCACTTTGAGCGAAATTTTAATTTTTTAGCTGTCGAAAAAAAATTAAAAAAAATAAAAAATTTCAAAACTTCTCAGAATTGCTTAAAATACCTGTGGCCACCCACTTTGAGTGAAATTTAATGTTTTTATAGGTGACGAAATAAAAATTAAAAATGCAAAAAATCAAAAATACCATTTGGGCACCTCAAAAATTGTATATTTCACTCAAAGTGAGTGGTTAGAAGTATTCTAAGCTATTATGTGAAGTTTTGAAATTTTTGATTTTTTATATTTTTTTTTGCACCTAAAAAAATTAAAATTTCGCTCAAAGTAGGTGGCCACAGGTATTCTAAGCCATTCTGTGAAGTTTTGAAATTTTTCATTTTTTTATTTTTTGATTTTTTTTGCACCTAAAAAAATTTAAATTTCGCTCAAAGTGGGTGGCCACAGGTATTCTATAAGCCATTCTATGAAATTTTGAAATTTCTAATTTTTTTATTTTTTTTGGAAATCTCAAAAAAATTAAATTTCTCTTGAAATGATTGGCCACGGGTATTCTAAGCCATTCTGTGAAGTTTTGAAATTTTTAATTTTTTAAAATTTTTTTTGGGCATCCCAAAAAAATTAAAATTTACTCAAAAAGTGGGTGGCCATAGGTATTCTAAGCCATTTTGTGAAATTTTGAAATTTTTTTTATTTTTTATTTTTTTGGACACCTCAAAAAATATAAATTTTACTCAAAGTAGGTGGCTATATGTATTCTAAGTAATTCTGTGAAGTTTTGAAATTTTTGATTTCTTGATTTTTTTTGAAAAAATTAAACAAATTTCCTATTATCCCAAAATCTGAATTTTTTTTATTTTCTCGACATTTTGATGATTTTTTCTGGAATTTTTCAATTTTTTGGGATTTTTTGAATATTTTTGAGATTTTTATGAATTTTTCGGAATTTTTAATTATTTTTATTCTATTTCTAAAAAAATGGATTTCTCTTCCTGGAAATAGAATTTTCTGTTGTTTATCAAACGGGTTTTTGTTTCAGGAAATAGAAATTTTGTGCTGTTATCAAACGGGTTTTTGTTCCAGAACTAGAAATTTTTTATCGTTATCAAACAGGTTTTTTTTCTCAGAAACTCATCCAGGAACCAGAAATAGAAAAATCTATTTCTGGTTCAGGAACTCATTCTGAAACAGAATGGTTATCATTCGCTACCTTAGTCTCCAAAAAATAGCTATTGGAAGGTCTTCAAGAGGGTCAATTTGCCGTGGAAAATGATGGACACAATCAATGTGAAATTTGATCGGCCATGATTTATATCTCTTTAGCAATGGTAAGGTTTCCCCAAATAGGATCAGCAATTCATGTAGAATGTCCATTCCTTAGATTTAGTGAAAAAATAGAAAACAATCAAGTTTGATTTGGCTCCAATTCTTCAATCCAAAATTCCAAGCCTTGAAGCTATTTGTTATTCCTTTTTGACTTCCAAAATAATCACGTGACAAATTTTGTTCATCATAATTAATAGGGAAAATTCCAAATAAAATTCTGAAGTACCCTCATTTTCTTAAATAAGGACCTGAAGTGAACCTTGTTTTAAATAAGGGCCTGAAGTGCCCATATTTTCTCAAATAACAGCATGAAGTGGTTATAACAGTATCAAATAAGGGCCTAACCTCATCGACTGGCCAAATATTTCGGCCGGTCGAGGGTATTTTTGTCCAAATATAATTTTAACTTTAAATTTTAGTTTAATTAGATTAAAAATTAAAAAAGATAAGTTTAAAAAACAAAGAGAAAAGCAGAAGGGCTGGCAACCAGCCCTCCTGCTTGTGGCCACCTCCCCATCATCGGTGGGGTGGCAGCGATGGCCGGCGGGGTCGCCGACGCCTCAACAAGGGCCGGTGACCCTTGCTGACCAAAGGCGAGGGCTGGCGATGGGGCGGCAGCCTTGTGTGTTTCTTTTTTTTTTTTTTTTTTAAACTTTAGCCTTTTTTTGTTGAGTTTCTTTTTTTTTATTATGGAAATAAAAAACAGAAAAAGGAAAAAGGAAAGAAATAAAGGAAAAAAAATCAAAAAAAAATTAAAAGATGAAAATGCCCTTACCTACCGATGGTGTCAAGCTCTTCTTTGAGATTCACATGGTCACTTTAGACCCTTATTCGAAACAAGGTTCACTTCAGGCCCTTATTGAAAAAAATAAGGGCAATTTAGGCCATTATTTGAAATAAAGTTCATTTCAAGCCCTTATTTGAGCAATATGAGAGTACTTCGGGCCCTTATTTGAAATTTTCCCTAATTGATATAGTGTGTTGCCTTTATTAGCAATCTGGTGAGTCTATCCAAGCTTCCCACTAGCAACTTACGAACTACGATTTATTTGGTCTTCCTTATTACACTAGTGATCAAGACTTCATTCAGTTGTTCACCTTATTATGGTACCTCCAACTCTAAACCCTGTAAAAAAAAAAGGAAAAGAAAGAAATATTAAAAATTTAAAAAAATTTAAAAAAATGTAAAAATTGTCCACGTTAGAACCGGTCGTGCAACGTAGGACAGCTGGCATCCACATCATCGATTTCTAGCCAAAATTGGTTAGAAGTACTAGATTAACAAATTGTTAAAAGGCTTAGGACTAGATTGGCACAATTGAAAAGTTTTAATTTGAATTGACCGCCACACAATAGGTTTTAGATTTTTTGGACAATTTTCCCATTACATTGTGATATATTGGGGTCAGCCCCTGTTTCTTTGTTGCAACAATTTGGATCTTTCGTGGTGTTTAGTGATGATTTTTCACAATGACTATTGGTTATTTCCACTAAAGAGGAAATTGGTTCCTTTGAATTATTCTTGTCAATTAAAAACTTTGTGGAAAATCAATTCGAGTGAACAATCAAGGTTTCCCAATCAGATGAAGGTGGTGAATTTTTTAGTCATGGTATTTATAATTTTATTTGAGGCGGGATTCAACCCCAAATCACATGTCGGGGCACACCAAAATAGAATGGTGTCGTTGAAAGAAAACATGGGCACATTGTTGAGTTGGGACTAGCAGCAGTTTTGTATGCATCGATGCGTCTTTCCTGTTGGATAAATGCCTCCATAACAATTAACTTGTAACTAATCAATTCCCTTTTGCCTCACTATAAATAAAGAGTCCATATGAGATATAATATTGCAAGTCGCCTGATTACTCTATGATTCGGCTTTGTTATCCATATCCCCAAAGACTACATTTGGTCGTCCGGATTTCTAACTCGGATAGGATTGGAGAGGATAGGATATAAAATCCAAGGATTTGCCATATCCTGTCTACTGTTTGGTGAATCGCAGTAATAAAGTCGGATATTTTCATATTTTATCACGTCCATTGTTTATTTTTTATGACATATCAATATAAATGAATTTGAAAATGCACAAATGAATATTGTAAAAATCTCTCATAATTCACTGCCAAATTTAGGAAGAGTATAAAAATATGATCATTCACTTTTGCGATTACGAAAAGTATAGTATTTGGACTCCCTCACTACTTTTGTGAAACTTCGACATGAACCACAAAATTACGGAGGAGTTTTGACTTTGTTGCTGCTTTTGTGGACTTTTGACATGAACCGGAGAGCTACGAATGAGAAGAAGCTTAGACTCTCTCGCCATTTTCATGGAACTTTGACATGAACTAAAAAACTACGGAGGAGTCATGAACCGGAGATACATAAGAGTAGGAAACGAGAGAGGGTAGATTTTTTAGAAATTTCATTGCCCCTCTTTTTTTGAGAATCAGAAAGATTCTTTTCAAATTTGAATTTGTTTATTAAAATCTGGACCACATTTTTATTTACTCAATTTTTTTTAAAAATTTTTCCATCTCTTTTTTATTTTTATTTTTATTCCCTTCGATCAATCCTTTATAAAATTTTATCAACTCATAAACTATACTATTATACCTAAAATATGTAATAATATAGATATTAAATACATATCATAGAGTAGAAAGAAATTCAATTATATAAATAATATAGGAATATATAAAAATGAAAATTATTTTTTTGTTATTCTAAATTATCTTTTTAATATTATAACTGAAATATTATTTTATATTTAAATATTATTTTATTTTTATTATTTAAAAAGTTTGTTTCGAGAAAAATAGCTTTTATACCATAAATATGAAAAATCCTATTCACCTTTATCCCACCTTTCTCTTTGGGATAATTTTATTTAGGTTATATCCGGTTTTATCTCATCTTGGGCTTGAACCAAACACAGGATAAAATAAATGTTATCTTATTTTAAATTTTATCCTGACTATCAAACATAACCAAAGATTATATGAGTAATAAGTTCATCAAGCATCTTTGCCTTGTATTTTCATTGGGTTATATTGAGAAGCATAAAGGACATCAATGCCTTATTTTTCAACCGGACCTGTAAATATCTCTAGGCAAGTTACTTTTTTACGGAAAATTATTTTCCTTTTGCTTCTAAGTCTCAGGATCGTGCTACTGTCAGCAATATCACA